TTTTTTTTTTTTTTTGTGACAGAGTCTCATTCTGTTGCTTGGGTTAGAGTGCCATGGCCTCAGCCTAACTCCCAGCAGCTTGGGCTCAAGTGATCCTCTTGCCTTAGCCTCCCGGGTAGCTAGGACAACAGCTAGCTTGGCCTGGCTAGTTTTTCTATTTTTGGTAGAGATGGGGTCTTGGTCTTTCTCAGGCTGGTCTCAAACTCATAAGCTCAAGGGATCCTCCTGCCTCCCCTCCCACGGTGCTGGGATTGTAGGCGCGAGCCGGCACACCTTCCCCTTTTTGTACTGTTTGAGTTTCCAACCACTGAGCATATTTTTCAGTTAAAAATCTGATCAAAATAAAATGTGAGAGAATCAGCTGTGTGAATATGTGCACTCTTCATGTTTATATGTGAGGTGCTCAGAAGATGTGGAGTCTGGCATTCCCCGTACACGTGCGCATGAGCAGTGAGCAGGGTGATGCATATGTGAAGTTGGAGTGTCCTCAGCACGGCAGTCATTGTCTGATTCTTCATTTGTCTTTCCACATAGGTATAGCAACAAGGTCTAGCTTTAGATGAGAAGGATAGTCCTAATGTGTTGTGTGCTCTGTCTCCAGTCCGGGACGTTTATGATTATTTCCGAGCTGTTCTGCAGCGGGACGAAAGGAGTGAACGAGCTTTTAAACTGACGCGAGATGCTATTGAGTTGAATGCAGCCAATTACACAGTGTGGTGAGTAGACACATTGCTAATATTCCCTGCTTACGTGTCTCCTGTGCAGGTTTGTATGGCTTTTTTTTGTAGTTTTTGGCCAGGGCTGGGTTCGAACCCACCACCTCCGTCCAGCATATAGGGCCAGCGCTGTCCTGTATGGCCTTTTTTAACTGAACTTTTAATTTTGACCAAAATAACAAACACACATATGGGTTTAATGTTTGGCCCATTTCCTTCTGTCACCAGTTCTGCTCCTCAGTATTGTAGATAATATGTTTACTTGTTATTGTTTTCTTTTTTTCATTTTAGACAGTCCCTGTTCCTTCTATGAAGGATCCAGAGTTCAGAGTTGACTCTCTGCGACCCTTCCTCTGACACCAACAAGTGCTCAGTTAGGGTCACACTGATCTCGTCCTACGGGATCACTATCTTCCCTGTAACACGTTGCCCTTCTTGTTTTCTTTGTACTGATAAGTAATTTGTCCTGCAGACTCTGGATATATATAAAATGTCATGTTTCTGTTGAGCACTACAGGTAGTCCTTCAGTCTCATTGTTTTCTTCACCAGTTTGGATCCTGGTCTTCAGCTCTTCCATGTGTTGGATTCCGATTCCCTAGATTTCTGCATCTTTCTCTTTCTCAGTTTACTCTCTCATTTTATAGAGTGGAAGGATGGGAAATAGTTTTTGTGTGGGAAGCAGTTTTTGAGATCTATACATGGTAGAACCTCTGTGAGTTGACCCCCTAGGGACTGTAACAAACTTGTCAGCACACAGAGGTGGCCAACATGGGGGACTAGGCCTGGTACTGATACGCACGTGTGCTGCATATCCTGTCTATGGAAATTAGGTCAACATAAGGAGATGGCCAACTATGGAGGTTCTGCTGTTTTGTAAAATCATTACTTTTCCTTCAACTTGATTGATTGATTGATTATTTGATTGTGACAGGTTCTTGTTCTGTTGTCCAGGCTGGAGTGCAATGACATGATCCTAGCTTACTTCAGCCTCAAACTCCTGGGCTTGAGCAATCCTCCCACCTCAGCCTCCTAGCTCATTTTTACTTTTTTATTTTTTGGTAGCAGTGGGGTCTTGAGACAGGTCTATAATTTCTGGTCAAGCATCCTCCTCCTTCAGCCTTCTGAACAGCTAAGACTAACAACAGGTGGTGTCATGCTCAGCTCCTTTATTTTCATTTCTTTGTCTATTTATGCACTAGTAAGATATTTCTTCAATTTTATCTTCTAAGTCTTCTATTGATTTTTTTTTAATTCTGCATTAACTTTTAATTTTATTTTTATTTATTTATTTTGAGACAGAGTCTTGCTTTTGTCGTCCTCTGTAGGGTGCTGTAGTGTCACAGCACACAGCATCCTCAAACTCTTGGGCTCAAGTGATTTTCTTGTCTCAGCGTCCTGAGTAGCCTACAGGTGCCCACCACAGTGCCTGGCTGTTTTAGAGACGGGGTCTCGCTCTTGCTCAGGCTGGTCTCAAACCCATGAGTGCAGCAATCCACCTGCCTGAGCCTCCCAGTGTGTTAGGATTACAGGCGTGAGCCACCTTACCTGGCCTTTTGAGTATTCTTTTTTAACTAGCACCCTGTTTTCTTTAATTAATGGGTGTGGTGTCTTTATTTGTCTTGTTCTCTTTCATGTAAATATTTTTCTGAAATGGTTGGTAATTCTTGACTTTTATACTCATAACTGAGACAAGAATAAATGGAAGCCCCACTGTGTGGAACGTTTATCAATTGGGGGGTGACGAGGGTGTGTGTGGCTGTTCTGTTGGGAAACCTTCTCATGTCAGTAGTTTCAGTCTTTTCTCTCAGACGGTGTATTTCTCCAAAGAGGATTCATCTAATTTTTTGCCTAAGGAGGGTATATTTGGCTGTCACAGTTCCGGGGGCTGGAGGTATGATGGCAGGGGAGTCTCACTGTGGAGAATATTAACCTTTTTTTTTGTTGTGATTTGAGCTAGAAACTGGTTTGTTTTGATTTTTTTCAGCTTTGCATACCAGCAGTCTTAATTCCTTAATTCCTCTACCCTCTGTCTTACCCTGCCTTCCGGCGTGTGTGGTACTCCTTTCTACTTCAGATTTTTCCAGAGAATAAAGCCACTGTCTCCTGCCTGGGTCGGGAGCTGGTGTCGCCCAGGGAGGGGTTCTGGCTGGTGAGGATTCTTCTGTAGACCTTCTCTTGTTTTTAGGCCCCTCTTGGACTCCAGTTTGAAAATACCTGGTACCTCTGATTTCTAAACCTTTCTCCACATTTCCTCTTCTGTTGACAGTTTTTCACACATTTTGTTTTTCTTAGTTACGACTAGTCTCTGCTCACTTTTTCCATGATTTTGTTGATGTATCCCAGTTGCCGTGGTGGTCCCTTATTCATTGTGTATTTATCCTTTTTGTTTTACTGTCATTTTAGTGAGATTTTATTACGAAGTGAGAATAAACTTATTTAATCTGTTTATCAGCATATTTTGTAATTTTATGTCTTTTGTATGTACTTCTTAGCTTTTAAGATTTTACTTTACAGAAAAAGGAACTTAGGATGCATTTAAAAATTTCCTGAGAAGTGTGTTTGCTGGTTTTTTAATAGCTGTGTACCCAAAATCATTACCCATATAAGCTATGTTTGTATTTATATGTTCTATAAGCCTAATTTTAATTTTCTTTTATAACAATAGAAGAGAAATACTGTAATCTCCTCTATGTAGTTCATTTTAGAAGGTAATTAGATCCTGAACTGTCCCTTATGATATGTTGGGTTAGAATTTTTTCAAATTTCAAAGTAAAAATAGACCACACTAACCATGTCTTAGGAAATATGATTCCGCCTGTGGAGAAATTGGAGAGAAACTTGTTTCATTTATAAGTAGCATTTTTGTAGTGGTTCTAAAAGTAAAATATTTTGTTAATGTTTAAAATAGAATTAGTTTATCATATGAATAATGTATCTACACAAACAAGCTGTGCCCACAGGAAAAGAGATGTCTTTGATTCCTGTTTTATAGAACATGGTGCCCAGAGTATCACCTGAGAATAATCATTTAGTTGGTGGTTTTTCATTACTCAAATTTCAAAAATTTACTTTTGTTCTGTCTCAAATGTGTTGCCTTTCAGTATTTTTACCCCAAATGGTTGATCCTTCCAATCCCCAGATAGTTGTATGAATTTGGACAACCATAAGCAGTTGAATTGTTGTGGTTATATAGAAATCTACCAGGAATTTGTCCCACTGTACTGTTGTCTTGTAGCTTTAATTGTTGTTGTTAGTAGGCAACTTATCTGGAGTAATGAGACTGGATGCTTGATGTTTGCTGTAGGCATTTTCGGAGAGTTCTCTTAAAGTCGCTTCAAAAGGATCTACATGAGGAAATGAACTACATCACTGCAATAATCGAGGAACAGCCCAAAAACTATCAAGTTTGGTAAGATGAAAATAGGACAGATGTCAGTGTGCTAATTGTACTTGCCACTGGGTGGTGAACCTGCCGAAAATCTTTTGTTTACAGTTGTATTTAGTGCTTTATATTGAAGCTAATGTTACCTGCTGGTAGGATTGTTAGGAGGATTAAATGAGATAACTTTATGTTTAGTGCCTGAAATGATGTAGAAACTGTTAAATGCTGCTAGGGTCAAAACAAATTTGAGTAAAAAAATCTGAAAATTGTTTTCACCTCAGTATGTTATAAAGTCACTTTTGATAATTGATCTTCTATTCATTTGTTTATTCAAAAAATGTTTATTGATGCTGGAGATACAAAGCTGAACACAGTCTAAGGAGGAAAGCAAATAATAAAACCAGAAATTAGTAATTTTACACAGCAGTATGAAAGTATAATGAAAGCTGGAGTTTTCCTCAAAGTGCATTTGTTGTAGAAGCTAAGCCCCTAGGTTAACGTAGACAAGAGTCTGGGGGTTGTTACGGTGAGGGTCGCAGAGCATGACAGGAGGAAAGCAAGAAGTTAGGAACAGGCAGGCAGAGAGGGGGTGGGCAGTGCCCCGCACACAGTGAGCCCCCCTCCCCACGGTGGTGGTGAAGATGAGGCCTGCGGCCCCCTGCCCAGCGTGCGCTTCACTCTGTGTGCCACTGATGGCCTCTGCATGATGCAGGGCTCACTACCATTCTACCTTTTTTCAACTTAATGTCCTACACACACACACACACCATATTATCTTTATGCCTGAGATTTAAGGAAGACTTTGAAAGGAAGGACCTCTGAGGCAGAAGCCTGAGGGATTCCCTGTGCTGAGAGTGCCTTGGGGGGTCATGGAGTCCAGGCAGGGTCGAGGGTGTAAAGGGCCTTATGAGCATCAATCAGGGCTGTGGGTGTATCTTAGAGGCAGTGAGAGCTGGTGACAAGTAACAGGGTTGTATTTGTGTCTTAGAAGGTGCCCTGATGGCAGGGTGGAAGGGACTGGTCCAGCTTCATGATCCAGGAGGCCGAGCGCCCTTGCAGTGGTGCAGGTTAGAAGAGATGAGGCTTCACATGGAGACGCTACTGGAGAGAGAAGTAAATTTGAGAGAGATTTTAGAGGGAAAAGCATACGTTTGAAGTTTAGTTTATTGAAGGGGTGATGGAGAACATCTGTATGTCTGGTTTGAAAGCTGCCTGAGTGGTGGTGCCGTCAACTTGGGGAATTTGAGAGGCACAGCAGCACATTTTGGGGAAGGGAGACCAGGGCCAGTGTTGGACAGGTGGTGCTTGATGTGCTTGTGGAAAACCCACATGCAGACAACAGCTGTCCAGTAAGTGACTGGACAGTGCTCTGCTGGAGTGAGGAGCAGTGTGGGCTGCTGCCAAGAACGGGGGCTGGCTGTGTCTGGAGTGGAAGTTGGAGTCATAGCTGTGGGTGACAGTGTTCAGGGAGAGTTAGAGGAGAAGGCTGAGGACAGAGCACTGGTGAATGTCATGTCATCGTGTGAGTGCAGGCAGAGAAGTGTGTGTGCAGGGAGGACTGAGGAAGGAAACCAAGAGGGGAGAGTTTCAAAAAGTCGGGAACAGATGCCAACATGAGCTACTGGTGAGAAGTCAGAGAAAGCAAACACTGAAAGTGTTGACCAGTGATCTGTCAGTCAGGTGAGCGGCCAACTGTGAGTGTTGTAGGCGTGTGCAGGGGTGGAGTGGGTGACAGAGTGGGCAGGAGGGAAGAGGTAGGATGAGGAGGGGAGTCACATAGCAGCGGGTAGAATTGTGACTGGGAGAGGAAGAGGCTCGGGTGCTGAGAAAGGAAGACGTGGCAGGTAGCTGGTCGGGGTGGCGTTTTGTTTGCTGTTTCCAATATGGTAAAGACTTCCTGGTGAGGGGATAGTGTTAATACAAAGAGAGGTTGAGATTTCAGGAGAGAAAGGAGAGAGTTGGAAGAGGTCCAGCCTGTAGGCCAGTCTTGGCAGGAAGAATACCTCATCCCAGATGTGGATGGCTGCGGAGCATCTGGACCAGCTGGGTGATGATAATCCGCATAGCCAAATATTATCTTCAAGGAGTATTTACCTGCATATTGATATTTAATTTTCTGAGAATTAGAATATAATAGACCTAATAACTGTCTTCAGTAAATAACACTATTTGTAAGTAATCAGATAAACCTCCAGTTAATTTGGCAAAGCATGGAAGTGGTAGCTGTTGTACAGATTTCCATTTGTAGAATTTTATTTAGTTAAAAGCTTTACCACGGCCAAGTGCAGTGGCTCACACCTGTAAGCCTAGCACTCTGGGGGCTGAGGCGGGTCGATTGCTTGAGTTATGAGTTCAAGACAGGCCTGAGCAAGAGCAAGATCACATCTCTACTAAAAATAGAAAAACTGAAACAAGAGAGTCATTTGAGCCCAAGAGTTGGAGGTTGCTGTGAGCAATGACGCCATGGCCCTTTACTTAGGATGACAGCTTGAGACTCTTGTCTCAAATAAATAAATAAATAAATAAATAAAAGCTTTACCATTGTAGCCTCTTTGTTTATAAGTAGATTGTTGCTTTCCTAAAAACTTGCATTATAAAATAGTTGCTTTGAAGAGAAAATAGAATATTTCAGACTCATTAAAAAGTTATTTACCCTGTGCAATCAAGGTGCTTTTATAAAATCCAGACATCACAAGCCTTCTCAGTGTTTGATTCCCCTACAGACACTGTCCTTAACACCCCAGCACCCATTGTTACGAGAAACAAAACACAAACCCAATCAAAGCAGCTGCTGTTGAAAGCCCCTCAGTTTTTTTTTTTATTAAGTCATAGCTGTGTACATTAATGCAATCATGGGGTACAGTGTGGTGTTTTCATATACAATTTGAAATACTCTCATCAAACTGGTTAATGTAGCCTTCATGTCATTTTCTTAGTTATTGTGTTAAGATATTCATACTCTGCTTTTAGAAAGATTCACTTGTACCCAGCTCCGCAGTTTTTTAATTGCAGTACATTTTATATTACCTACCCTGTTAGTTCCTCTTACAACCAGTTTAATAATAAGTAGTAAAAATCTTATATCCTAATAAATTGCTTTTTATTAAATTCTTACTATGAAAACTTATGTTGTAAGGTAAACCCCTATATTTAATAATTTAATAATTCTTTAAATCATAGAACATCGGAATGAATTTATGTTCCATTTTGATATACCAGAAGATCTAATTTATTTTATTGTATTTTATTTATTTTGTATTGAGACAGAGTCTCACTCTTGTCACCCTGTGTAGTGTTGTGGTATCATCATAGCTCATAGCAACCTCAAACTCTTGGGCTCAAACTATCCTCCTGCCCCGGCCTCCCCAGTAGTTGAGACTATAGATGTGCACCACCATGCTCAGCTAATTTTTCTGTTTTTAGTAGAGACAGAGTCTTGCTTTGCTGAGGTTGGTTATGAACTCCTGAGCTCTAGTGATCCTTCCACTGCAGCCTCGCGAAATCCCAGGATTATAGGCCTGAGCTACTGTCCCCAGCCTGAGAGAATCTAATTTTTAACTTTTTCCTAAATTATAGAATTTACCTGGAATCTGGAAAAATAAAATGCTACTAGTATTCACTGACTTGGAATATGTCTAAATGCAAATTTGGAAACCTTTTTCTCTAGGAGTATCTTACCTTAATATTATGTAAGATGAATTTTTAAATTTTCCGTGCATGTTAAATAGATTGTTCATTAAGCTTCCTTTCACCTTTTTCCTATCACTTGTCACTTTTAGTTTAACGAACTTTAAAATTAGCTGTATTGGGATACGGTTTGTACACCGCGCAGCTCACCCGGGGAAGGTGTGCGGTGCAGTGGTTTCCAGTAAACAGTCGCACGGATATGTGCACCCTCACCACAGTGCACCTCAGAGTGTTTTCACTAATAGATTTTTATAGTTTAAGAAAGTTATGAAATGGAATCCAATATAAAACCTTTAGAAGTATTTTCCTAGTACAGAAACTCCTCTTGTGACAATCCTGTGGCTTCAGGATAGATGTGAGTTCAGTTCTGCCCACTAACATGTGGAATGAGAAATTGTTTGTGTGTGACGCTTTACATTCAGTGAAAATCCACAAACTGTTTGAGGAGAGGGACTTCTGTGCTTGATAAAACAATAGCACATTTTCTCTAGTCTGTCATTATGCAGTCTGGTAATGTGTTAGAATTTTTTGACAGAATTTTGTATTGTATTATTGTGAGATGAACTTTTTTTTTTTTTTTTTTGAGACAGTATGTCTCTCTGTTGCCCTGGCTAGGGTACCATAGTGTCAGCCTAGCTCACAGCAGCTTCAGACTCTTGGGTTCAGGCAGTCCTCCTGTCTCAGCCTCCAGTACCTGGAATCCCACCAGCACCCACCACAATGGCCGGCCAACTCATTTTTCTATTTTTAGTAAGAGAAGGGGTCTCGCTCCTGTTGAGTGCTGGGATTATAGACGTGACCTACCACGTTGGGCTGAGGTGAACCTTCTTTTTACCCCATGTATCTGATTTCATTTTGCACATAACTGTCTGTGTTTCTCAGCGCGTCCTTAGTGTTGTGAACTTTTTTCTTACTATTTTCTTTGTGTGACCTTCCTCTCCAGTAGTGTCTTGAGAATTAGGGGTGAGTTTTTGTTTCTTGAGTGTCCTTCCACGTTACCTGTGTCAACACATGTGCAGCTGATATTTGAGTTCTTGACTCAATTAACAAAAAACTTTTCTTTCTTCTCTGGGCTTCAGGCATCATAGGCGAGTCTTAGTGGAATGGCTCAAAGACCCATCTCAGGAGCTTGAGTTTATTGCTGATATTCTTAATCAGGATGCAAAGAATTACCATGCCTGGCAGCACCGACAGTGGGTTATTCAGGTATTGCCTTCCTGTTACAGTGCTTTTCAGATTTTTATTTTTAACTGAATTAAACAGGTAAAATTACTATTAAAGTCTAAATATACTTCTAAAGCAAAACACACATAGATCATATAGATCATTGCACATAATATGTAATAATTAAGAATTAAGGTACTTAATGACTTGGCACTTGTAGCACAGTGGTGACAGCACCAGCTACATACACCAAGACTGACAGGTTCGAACCAGGCCCAGGCCAGCTGAACAACAATGACAACTGCAACAAAAAAATAGCTGGGCATTGTGGTGAGCACCTGTAGTACCAGCTTCTTGGGAGGCTGAGGCAAGAGAATTGCTTAAGCCAAAGACTTTGAGGTTACTGTGAGCTATGATGCCACGGCACTCTACCATGGGCAACATAGTGAGACTGTCTCAAAAAGAAAAAAAAAGAATTAAGGTACTTAAAACCTCACATCTTTCATGTTGGTTTGCCTTTATGATCTCTTTGGATATGTTGATGAATAGCTTTATACTAAAGAATAAAAGTAAATTTTTAATTCTTTCAATTTGTATCACATGTTTGCTGGCGAATTTAGTACAAAAAGTAGTAAATCTTTAGTGCAGCTCTATTATTTAGTTTTTATATTACTATTTTAATTAACAAGGGGACGTTTAAAGTTTTTGTGTAAGGCTGGGCACAGTGGTTCATTCCGTAATCCTAACACTCTGGGAAGCAAAGACCGGTGGATTGCCTGAGCTCAGGAGTTGGAGACCAGCCTGAGCAAGAGCGAGACCCTGTCTCTAAAAAATTGCTGAGTGTTGTGGTGGGCGCCTGAAGGCTGAGGCAAGAGGATCACTTGAGCCCAAGAGTTTGAGGTTGCTGTGAGCTGTGGCACCACAGCACTCTCCCACAGGCAACATAGTGAGACTCTGTCTCAAAAAAAATAAATAAAGTTTTTATATATATAAACTTTGAAACAGTAACTATTGTGTATTTTATTTCTACCCATGTATTAAAATTTTGTGCTTAATACTGAATAGAATAGTTGTAACTCCTACTCTGGGCATTTCCTTTATTCTAACAGACAATTGTAGTATTGTTTTCTTTGAATTTCTCCATAGATTGCTACTTTTCACACTATTCATTACACCAAGAGCATTTCACCATAACTATTTTATTTAAAATTTAAAAAATTTCCAAATTCAGCTAAAGGGACACATTTTCTAAACGTTTTTGATATTTTCACTTTATAATGAATATTTTAATCATATAAGAGTAAAAATTATATGCAAGCCCACAGCCCCACCGTTTGCCACAGCAGCTTGAGAAGGAGAACATTCCCAGTGTCTCTGAAAAGCCCCCACCCAGGGCACTGCTCACTGAAATGATTGTGAAGGTTCCTATGAGAAAGGACTTCAAAATATCCTTCCAAAACCAAAGTACATGTAATTTTCTTGTTTCCACATTAGATATATTATGATTTCATGTTTCCAATATAATTTTTAAAAGAATAATTTCTACCCTAATGAGGGGCAGATGGATTCTGAAAACTGAAGAAAATCTGTACATTTTTATAAGCTAAATAAAAAGGAAGAAAACTTGTCCCAAGGTTCAAAGTGGGACATGCACATCTTAGATTCCATGGTTTTCAAGCAGCAGTGACTGTGCTCCATGGAGAACATTTGGAGCGTCTGGAGCCATTTTTCACTGTCACACTAGGGGCCTGGTGGTGTCGAGGAGGTAGCGGGCAGGTCTGCTGCTGGCCATCCTCCGTGCTTGAGACAGCCCCACAGCAAAGGGTTGCCTGGTGCAGGTTATCACTGCCAGGGCCGAGGGAGCCTGATCTAAGCCTGTTTCTAGTAAAGGGAGTTAATTTTGGAGCGTCATTTTTAATACTTCATTTATTTTCAGTGAGAATGTAATGAATTTAGTACATTCTCTGATTACTTAAAATGCATGTGAGATAGTTCTTGAAATAACTTAATGACATACATATATTCAATGTGACAGAATTTTAGTTTTAAGCTTTTTTTTTTTTAATGAGACAGAGTTTCACTATGTCACCTGTGGTAGAGTGCAGTGGCATCAAAGCTCACAGCAACCTCAAACTTTTGGGCTTCAGCGATTCTTTTGCCTCAGCCTCCCGAGTAGCTGGGACTACAGGCGCCCACCACAACGCCTGGCTATTTTTTTGTTGTCATTACCATTGTTTAGCAGGCTCTGGGCCAGGTTTGAACTTGCCAGCCCCGGAGTATGTGGCCGGCACCCTAACCACTGAGCTATAGGAGCCGAGCCTTAAGCATTATTTTTAACATTAATTATAAACATTCATGTTATTCAAGTTATTGTGAGCCGAACTTCTTTTTTCCCCTGAGACAGAGTGTCTCTCTGTTGCCCGGCTAGGGTACCGTGGTAGAGTGCTATGGCATCACGACTCACAGCAACCTCAAACTCTTAGGTTCAAGCGATTCTCTTGCCAGAATCTCCTGAGTAGCTGGGACTACAGGCACCCACCACAAAGCCTAGCTATTTTTAGAGATGAAGTCTTGCTCTGACTGAGGCTGGTCTCGAACCTGTGAGCTCAGGCAAGACACCTGCTTTGGCTTCCCAGAGTGTTGGGATTACAGGCGTGAGCAACCGCGCCTGGCCGATACCTTTTTCAACTAAAATAGCTTTGTAAGCTATAAATTTTTATCTAAATCCTGTGGTATGTATTGCCCTACATGTATTTTAATGTAATTTTGTCATATGTGTACACTTTTGAATGCTGCCTGTAATATTCTATATTAATATCAAATCACATTGAATTGCTACTCTGCACTGTAGTTACTTTCTTACTCGTGAGTTGGCTTTTTTCCCCTCTAAGTTTTCTTTGATCTCTCCGTGTGTTTCTGGACTCTGTCGCCCTCTTTTTCCTTGACCGGTGACTGTCCCTTCTCTCAGTATGTGACACAGGTCTGCCTTGTTAGGTTTACTGACGGTTTCATTTATTTTCATTGTTTATGAATGATGGGACATTTCTAATTTTTTTTTTTTTAATTTTCTTTTAGGAATTTAAGCTTTGGGATAATGAACTGCAGTATGTAGATCAGCTTCTAAAAGAGGACGTGAGGAATAACTCCGTCTGGAACCAAAGACACTTCGTTATTTCAAACACCACTGGCTACAGTGACCACGCTGTGCTGGAGAGAGAAGTCCAGTTAGTAGCCCTTCACTTGCTCCGTCCTTAACCGTGTCTTGCTTGCCTTCCATGTCTCGGGCAGTAGGGGCACAACAAAGACCAGGCTCCTACGCTTGTGGGACTAAACCAGAACAGAACAGTGAGAGGAAACACAGACGGTAGATGGTCTGCCTCTACTTTGTAGTGTCTTTAGGTATCTTGAAATACTGTTGTTACCAGAGATTGGAAAGAAATCTGATTTCTGAGAGTCTGAAAAACTTCATTTTAAAATTATCTCATTAAATTCTCTTGCATTCAAATAGTAGTTCCCAGATGCCGTGTGACCCTAGTGTGGGGTTTGGCCCCAGTCATCCTGTGTGTGTAAGAGGTTAGGCAGCATCCCTGACCTTGAACTAAGTGTCTTCAGACACTGGCAGGTGTCCCTTAGAGGATAAAATCACCCCCAGTTGAGGACCGCTGTATCAGAAGCTGTTAGAAGAGCTAGAAATTTCTGAATTGGCGTGAATTTCTGTATTATATCCATAGATACTAAGAGCCATTTTTTTCTAACCTTATATTTGTCCATTTTTGTCTCAGTGTCTTATTTCATAATTTGAACATGCTTGTTTTCAAAGCCTGTTATAAGACGGCAATCGTAATTTTAATTAATAGACATGTTTGAACAACTACTGGGAGAGACTGATTTCACGTCCTTGCCTTCAGTTCTTCCTGGACCAAGCCAGCTGCTTCTAGCTGCTCTGTACTGGGTTCTGGTGATTTAGATTTTTAAGAGCAGCCCTCAGTCCATGTCCCACGTTAACTCTCCGTTCCAGAGTTATATCTAGAGCAGACAGACCCACAAGCACACCTTATGTCTTCTTTCTAGTTCTCTCCTATCTATACCTTGTTTTTTACACCTTGCAGATACTAGGATTTTTACAAATTATTACAGCTGTATGGTGGCCTTTGATCAGTTGTCTTAGGTATTGTAATTGTTTTGAGGTGCCATGACTGTGCCCATATGAGAGAGTGAGCTTCATCACTAAGTGTGGTCTGTCCCCCATCTTCCTCCTCTTGGGCTTTACTATTCCCTGAAATACAACAATATTGAAATTAAGCCGATTAATAACCCCTACGATAGCCTCTAAGCATTCATGTGAAAGTAAGAGGTGTCTCTCCTTGTAAATCAAAAGCTAGAAACAAGCTCAGTGAGGAAGGCACATTGAAAGCTGAGCCTCTTGCACCAGAGGTAGCCAAGTTGTGAATGTATAGGAAAAATTTAAAAGACATTGGAAGTGTTACTCCACCGCACACATGAATTGTAGGAAAGCGAAGCAGCCTTAGTATTGATATGGAGAACGTTTGAGTGGTCTGGATAAAAGATCAAGCCAGCCACAACATTCCCTAAAGCCAAAGCTTAATCCAGAGTAAGATCCTAACTTTCTTTAGTTCTGTGAAGGCTGAGAGGTGAGGAATCTGCAGGAAAAAAAAATTTAAAAGTAGCAGAGGTTGGTTCATAAGGTTGATGGAAAGAATCTATCTCTGTACCCTGGAAGTAGAGAGTGAACCTTAAGTGCTGACGGAGAAGCTGCAGTGTGTTACCCAGTAGCTCTCGCTAGATCATTGATGGAGGTGGCAGCACTCGCGAGATCTTCAGTGAAAATTAAAAAGTCTCTATTGGAAGAAAATGCCGTTTAGGACTTCGATAACCACAGAGGAAGAAGTCAATGCCTGGCTTCAGAGGACAGGCTGGCTCTTATTACTGGGTCATGCAGCTGGTGACTTATACGTTGAAGTCAGTGCTTATTGACCATTCTGAAAATCTGGGCCTTTAGTAAGAATTAGGGACTTATGCTTGGTTGGGCTGGGGGATAATCCCAAATACAGTGGCTCACGCCTGTAATCCCAGCACTTGGGAGGCCCAGGTGAGTGGATTGCTTCTTCCAGACTAGCTGAGCCAAAGCGAGACTTAGTCTCTAAAAATACCCCAGTGTTGTTGTAGTGGCACCTGTAGTCCCAGATAATTGGAGGACTGAGGCAAGAGAATCACTTGAGCCCAAGAGTTTGAGGTTGCTGTGAGCTGTAACTCCATGGCACTCTACTGAGGGCAACAAAGTGAAACTCTGTTTTGAAAAAAAAAAAAAGATAACGACCTTGATAGGTGCTTTGGTCCCTGACAGATGCATTTGAGGATGCACAAGTGAGAACGTGTGGCCACGCTGTGCCACAGTCTTGGTGAACTCTGAAGTCCCGGTACTGCTCTTGAACATGTGTTTTCTTGTAGGTATACCCTGGAAATGATCAAACTAGTACCACATAATGAAAGCGCGTGGAACTATTTGAAAGGGTAAGAGGGTCTTTTTTTTTTTTTTTTTAATAAACAAATAATCTGTTACTGTGATGCTTCATGGAGTGTGTTCTATGATGATCCAAAAGGGGTGCTAAAGAATTTTCACGTTTTTGATCTAAGAGCAAGAATGTAATAATAGTCTGTGTTAACTCCCAGGAACAGTTGTTTATAGAACAGTTCGAAAGTAAACAGTGATGCAGTGTGAATTGTACTTACGAATCCTGTAGTCTTATGTCAAAGAATGGCACACACACTCGGTTCTGCTCATCTTAGGAGCACAGCAGAGCGAGGTAGACAGTTGACAAGTGGATTATACAGATGGGTAGCCAGCCATTCTGTTTCCATTTCTAGAGACCCTGTTAATAAGTCCTTAAATAGAAAAGGCTTCACTAACTGACCACTGACACAACACAAGGTGTCACAGGCTCCTTGTAAACTTAGAGATCTTCAGGGGAGCTAGGCCCAAAGAGCACGGAATGTGGAGCCAGTCACATTTGGAGATGTCATGGTGGGCCCTGCAGTGTCTAGAACACTTAAGGAGTAAGCAGCCATTTCAAGAAGAAACAAGAACCTGTTATTTTCCTTCTTAATTTTAAGAAAGTGATTTATTTTCGGCTTTAATTTTGCATGTTGCATAGTTTAAACTATAAATGATCATTTATAATCATTTTTAAAAATTTTTTACTCAGTTCTTAATTATCTGAAAGATTCACATAATTTACAAGTTTCTTGCTTTTTTTTGAAACAGAGTCTCATTCTGTTGCCCTGGGTTGAGTGCTGTGAGTCGTCATAGCTTACAGCAACCTCAGACTCTTGGGCTCAAGCCATCCTGCCCAGATAATTTTTCCAAATTTTTTTTTTTTTTTTTTT